CGATATTTTTCGGGAAGAATCGACATCCCTACTGACAATAACAATAAAAAAATGGCGTCAGTTTTATTGTAGGATTAGACATAAAGAATGTAAGAATAATTGATTTTCAATAACTTTTTTCTCAAAAATTACGCGCTTCCGCATATTGTAACTTTGTGTGTGTGCTTATAATAGTGTAACTTTTCTGTAAAAATACGTATCAACCCGCAACTCGATGGGAGTAAATGGAAAGTCTTTCCCAACGAACGCCTCATGACGACCCTTAGTCATGAACTCAGATAGAGTAACCAAACTTTGTCACGGAGATTCTGATCTCGAAATTTCACGAGCAACACACGAGGCTTGTGGCCACGGGGGCGCCCTAAGCGATGGCATCTGGTAATAGAGTCCACACTTAATTCAGGGATGTTCAGCCGCTCTGATAATACCTTACTTGTGCAATGCACTAGGTTCTCATCTTGAGCTTCTGGCATTCCATGGACAAGCAACATCTTCCTCCTGGTCCTTACCTCCATTTCATCTTGCTGCCTAGAGAGAAGCTGGAGCTGAAGTTGCAGATTCTCAAGTGCTGCCAGGACGAATGCCCTAAATGCATTAAATTGTGCATTAATATTGGAAGAAGGGCTCGTTGCAGGGATGGATGTTCTGACCTCCCTCTGGAACTCATCCATACGTGAAGTGAAATTCAGTGTTAGCTCTTCAATTGACTTCTTAAGCAAATCCATTTTGAATATTCAATTAAAGGATACTTAAAGGTCAATGTCAGGTGACAGTGAAGTGGCAAAATAAGTTTTTAGTTGTGCAATGAAAAACAAATTATTATTAAACAATGCTGGTGGATTTATGTAATTACAGGTACATTTATATACTTGATTGTTCTAAATTTACTATATTAAAACTTTAAAAAATCAGGAACGATGTTAAATATGTCAACACACTTTTGCGCCTACCCACCGAAAAAAAAAATAGATAGCAGATAGCTGATGTTATAAGAAGTAACTTAGGCTACTTTTATTTTAGAAAAAGAATTAGGATTCCGCGCAAAAAATTAAAACCCATGAAATCAAATCGTAATAAATTACGCGCGGGCGAAGTCGTGGGGAACAGTTAATGTTATAAAAAGGTAAAGTTCGTAAGTTTGTGAGTTTGTTTGTAGGAAGTAAGCTCTGGAACTACTGAACCGATTTTAAAAATTCTTTCACCAGTAGAAAGCTACATCATTTTTTTCAATGTGAAATAACAATGTTTGTCAATCAATTCCGAAAATAAATCCTAAACACTCAGTACTAAGAACCACACAAGATAATTTCATAATTCATAATTCATAATTAATTTATTGCATGTCACAAAGTATAAAGTTGTTACAATATATTTACAGAGCATGTGACACGAGCGTAGCATATTAAGATGGAGTTTAAATGTTAATTAATATAGAATTAAATTAAATTACAATATTTACAGTACATAATGTATGCATTATTATTAATTAATTTATTAAATATCAAACTAAATAATACACACATTTATCGATAAATATTTCATCTCAAATATTAGTAATTTTTCATTCATGTAAATAAGATTTAAAATTTTGATTAAAATATTAACAATGTTAAATAAGTACATAGAAATAAAAAAATTTGTCAAAATAATTTAATTTATAATTTATCATTAAAGTATTCGTTCAAATTATAATAACTTTTTACAAGAAGCATTTTCTTAAGTACTATATAAAATTTTGCGACTAATTTCATCACAAGTTAAAATGTTTAACGCCCAGCAAATTGGGCACGGATCAGTTGGTTTATTATAAAGTTCAATCCTTACTAAAATTTTATATAACCTTAACCTAAATTGCGTTTTATAACGTGATTAGATATTTTAGCTCATCTAACCGGCCTCTTATCAACATTTAGTTATATTTCAGACAGTCTCATTTCCTGGCTGGGTATGCGACTGTTTTAGGCGACGCTCCCTTACATATGTTTACGTCTAGGAGACAATGTTTACGCTTGATCTGGTTTGTGAGAGTCGGTACAGTTACAGGCTACGCCGCATTCCATATTTGTTCCCTACACGGCTAGCATGGACTGGGGACAAAAAATGTATCCCCCGACTATATCCACTGGCAAGAGATAAAATTATCTTGTCCCTATGCCAAAGCACGGCAACGGGGAGAAGTATATTCCCGTTTGACGTAACGAGTAGACATATATCCCCCGTCCGTAGCGTGGAGCCAAATGAAAGATAAAAAATTATGCTTTTTTGACATTTGAAAGGGACAATTTTATCCTAGTTCCTTGGACGTGGGTTTAAGTTTATATTCATACAAACATCTATCTAAGTCTACCTCCCATTTTATCTACTGTGGATATTATATCTAACGGTGTGCCCATGCTCGAAGGGTGGATAAAACTAAGCGAGGGGATAAACGTTTTCTCCTTTCCCCGGGGATAAAATTGTCTCCTGCCCATGCTAGCCCTGCTGGGGTGTCAACGCGTCTCTTTAGCCTTCCTTGCTTATGAAGTATGACAGCACACAGTTCAACTGATGGTAAGTGGTTGCTGTGACCCATAGACATCTACATCTATCCTCGATTAAGAATTTAAATAAAATTTAATCGTTTACTTCCAATAACAGTGTTCAATAATGTTTTTTGTTTGTGCGAATACTACATATTGAAATAAAAGTAGTTATTTACGGATTTTACATGCGTATATTAGGTTATTTTATATTTCCGACGTTTCGAGCACTTTAACCCATGGTCACGGGGGGACTGAGGTGTTTGACGTCCCAATGTCATAGTTAACCATGGCTACCTTCTGATTAAAATTGTTAATGTTTTTTCCGATCTACGGGAATATAAAATAAGTTGATGTACGCGATAAAATCCGTAAAAACTGGTTTTATTTCAACAGTGGTATAGATGACAGCGTATTGACGAAACTAAACGCTTTATTAATGGTCATTGTGAGAAAGCGCAACCTGTAGTCTGTACTAGTATACGCTGTGCAGTGATAAAAATGCATGTCATCCCTGAGGACTAAGATGGAATGCCTTGTTTCCAGTAAAAAGGGTCTCCGGTTCCCTACACTCACCATACGAAACACAGCAGCGTTAAGCTGCAATTTTACGTTGGTATTCTGTGAGAGCGTGGTCCTTCCCCGGGCGAGCCGATCCATTGCACATATGCATGTTGGAGTGACTAAGAGAAATCTGTCCCATCATTAATTTTTTTTTTTAAATAAAAATACTAGTAATGTTATTAAACATTACTAATATTCCCTTTAACCACTTCTGGTAAGCTTAAAATGCTTGTGTTAGAAGTGGTTCACGACAGTAGTCGAATGGCGGATTCGAACCCACGACCTTTCGAGTCCGTGGTCCGCGCCCTGCCATTAGGCTACTGACGCTTAACATCCTTTTCAATATCCGATATTGATGGCTCCGTGGCGCAGTGGCTTAGCAAGGCTTAGAGTTCAGGGTCGCGGGTTCAAATCCCGCACGGAACAAGTATTAATTGTTTCTGGTCTGGATGTTTGTCCTTGTGCAATTTATGTGTGTAAACTGCCTCCACGATACAGGGGAAAATCTTTGTGTGAGGTCTTTACCAATTGAGGTAAGGTCTTTAATAATCGAGGTAAGGTCTTTAATATAGAAAAAAGGTGACGGGAACAGTTGCCATTATAGCAAGGGGACAGGTAGAAAAACGTGTTCACACAAAAGCCGTGGCATTAAATGCTATCACGCGCGCACAGTGGTAGTGTCAGTGATCGTCGCGTGAAACTTAGGGTGACCACTCTGTTTTTTTTATGGCGGACGTTCTCTACCGGTGAGTTTTTTTTATAGAATAAGGGTCACAAACGAGCACACAATCTACCTGATGGTAAGTGGATGCCGTAACCTATAGGCATCTACTTATCTTTCCCCACACTAGGGTTTTCTCCTGTATCGTGGAAGAAAAAAAAATCAGACCTGGAACAATAATTTGTAGGCGATACAAATTAATGTTCTGTGCGGGATTTGAACCTGCGATCCATAGCGCTGCAATTCATTGCTAAGCCACTGCGCCATGGACCCGTCGTCCTGAATTAAGAATCAAAATGCAGATGCATTGTCACCCCTGAGGACTAAGGTGAAATGCCACGTTTCCAGTAACTTGCCTCGTATTTGCAGTGGTAAGTTTAGGTGGGTTACGACAACACAATTTCGTAAGGCAGAGAGCATGATTCGTACCTAACGAATCATGCTCTCTGCCTTACGAAATTCAGAGATCAGAGTTTATTTTTATTTATTTTATTTTTATTTTATTTTATTCGGAAAACTTACAGCAATTTCTTATAATTAAATAAAATATATAATAATATACTATTAAGCCATTTACAAGTTTCCACTTTTAGAATTAAAAATAAAAAGTATAAACAAAAGACAATTCAAAGATATATTAACTAGTTAACAATAGGTACCTTAAAGTTAAAAAGCTATGTGTATTATGAATATTTTAAGACTTAATATAAAAATTTAAGCAAAATATTCACTGGTTAAGGTACTCTTGGCCACACTCGGGGTAGTATTAAATGGATCAATATCAAAGTTAGGCGAGTTTATAAATTTAGCAGTTCTAATCATGAAAGAATTACGTCTATAGTTCGTATGAGCTCTGTTTATGTAAAGAAGTTTGCGTTTCCTCTTATTTGCTAATGGAACATTTAAAGTAACATCAGATAATAATTCCGGGGAGTAAATTGAACCATTGCAAATTTTTAGATAAAAACATACGTCATTAATATTACGCCGAACAGATAAAGGAAGAAAGTGATATCGTTTGCACCTCTCTTCATAGTTCTGAGAATCCGTATGCGCTCTATAATCAAGATACTTTAAAAACCTTTTCTGGATACCCTCAATACGAGACTTATAAACCTCATATTGTGGGTTCCAGACCTGTGATGCATATTCAAGTATAGGACGTACAAATGAACAGTAGAGAATTTTTATCGTCTTTAGGCTGTTGAAGGCACAATAACAGCGGATGACAAGTCCCATGGCTTTAATGCCCTAGTTATAATGCTAGATATATGCTTGTCATAGATAAGTTTAGAACCTTGAATTATTCCAAGATCACAAGCTTCATATACTCTAGCCAAAGAGGTACCCTTCAAGTGATAGCCGCCATTGATTGTATCGCTTTTCCTTGTAAAGGACACAAAAAAACATTTAGATACATTTAAATCTAGTTTATTTATATTGCAGTATGTTTCAAATCTTTCCAAGTCTGATTGCAATAACATAGTATCATCTGTGCTAGAGATGAATTTAAGTATTTTCATATCATCAGCATATGAGAGTACTTTGGAGTACAAGAAACACTTCTCTATATCGTTCACAAAGATAATAAATAGTAGGGGGCCCAACAGAGAGCCTTGAGGTACGCCTGAAGGAACCGGTAGCCAAGTGGACATAAACCCATTAAGCACTACTGCTTGTGACCTATTTTCAATATAAGAGGAGAACCATCGCAGAAGATCTCCATGTATACCTGACATTGCCAATTTTTTTAAAAGGATTTGATGATCTATTCGATCGAAACATTTACTGTAGTCAGTATAAACACAGTCAACTTGGAGTCCAATGTCCATACCTTTTGAAATGTAATTATTTGTAAGGATCAGATTAGTAACAGTTGATCTTTTTATAAGAAATCCATGTTGGGCATCGCTAAGTATAGGGGAAATAGAATTGTACACTTGTTGATATACTACCTTTTCAAATACTTTAGCAAATAAACATAGTTTTGATATAGGCCGGTAATTTTCTATTTTTGTGGTGTTCCCTTTTTTATGAACAGGTGTGATGTATGCCTGCTTCCAAATTTTGGGAACAACACCTTCAGCTATCGATCGCTTAAAGAGAATGAACAGAGGTTCCGAAAGCTCTTTGCAACAATTAACTATAAAAATAGGTGGTATAAGATCCGGCCCACCCGATTTGTTGAGATCCAATGACTTAAGTAATTTATTGATTTTAGTTTTATTAATACATATGGTATTCAAACTAACTGAGTTCGGAATGTTTAACTCTTTAATAGTCATATGACCAGCATGAAAATTACCGTACGGAGAGGAAAATGTGGAATGAAAGTATTTTGCAAATAAGTCACTTATTTGTTGTCCATTCACAGCTGTTTCATTTTGCAGTGACATATTGCTAGGAAATGACTGATTAATTTAAAATTCGAATATACTCTTAATATCTGCCCTCGTTCGGCTATACTCGCCCCCGAGTTCACACCTATAAGCATTTTATCACGAAACCTAACGAATCATGCTCTCTGCCTTACGAAATTGTGTTGTCGTAACCCACCTAAACTTACCACTGCAAATACGAGGCAAGTTACTGGAAACGTGGCATTTCATCTTAGTCCTCAGGGGTGACAAAGCATCTGCATTTTGATTTGCAAACGAGGATAAATGTAGATGTCTATGGGCCACAGCAGCCACTTACCATCAGGTGGACTGTGTGCTCGTTTGTCACCCTATCCTATAAAAAAAAAGCATGTAAGACGAGAACCACTGCCGACAAACTGTAATGCAGTTTGGCAGATGAAAATGTTAAAAACGTTTATTGTATAATTGGAAGAAAATAACATAAACACTCACTCACGCCTGTCACCCAGAGGGGTAGGCAGAGACTACGGACTTCCATTTGGCGCGATCCTGACACACCTCTCTCGCCTCTTTCACATCCATATATCTACGCATACACGCTCGTCGGTTAAGGGTACTCCTAATCTGGCCCATTTTCAATGTATCGCCGATCTGGTCGATAAACCTTCGTCTAGGGCGTCCCTTCCCGACCCTGCCGTTCACTTCTGCAACATAAATTTGCTTTGTCACTCTTTCCTCGTTCATTCTTTCTACGTGACCAAACCACCGAAGCATTCCTTTCTTAATCCTTGTCACAACGTCATCTTGCAAACCACACTTTTCTCTTATCACACTATTTCTCACCCTGTCATTCAGATTCAGCCCTAGCATACTCCTTAAGGAACGCATTTCTACAGCATTTATTCTACTCTCATGCTTCTTCTGCCAGACCCAACTCTCACTACCATACATTAAAGTGGGTACTAACACAGCATTATGAATTGCCATACGTGCCTTAGTTGACACATTCTGACTCCTCACAATAGCGTGTAGAGCCCCATTCACTCTATTTCCTGCGTTCACTCGTCGTTCTATATCCTTATCATATCTACCATCCCTGCTAAATAAACATCCCAAATATACAAACTCATCCACTTGCTCAATCAACTCCCCTTCTATTCTTATTTTACATAAAGTTTTACTTTCTTCTCTTTCAAAAACCATCACTTTCGTCTTACTTGCGTTCACTTTCATACCCCTTTCTTTCAATGAACAATTCATTAAAGTAACCATCATTTGCAACTCGGCCGCCGACGATGCAAATATGACTTGATCATCGGCGTACAAAAGGCATTTGACGGTTGACTCACCCATTCTCAACCCACATTCTTCAACTTTCAAAGTTTGCAAACAACTGTCCATAAATAGGTTAAACAGCCACGGGGAAGCCACACATCCCTGTCTGACACCTTTATGAATGCCAAACCAGTCCGAGTAGACCCCGTTGATCCTGACACAAGCACTAGAGTCCCTATAAAGAGACCTTAATGCCTGTATCAAGCCAGCGCTCAACCCAAATGAGTTCAGTGTTTGCCATAACACGTTCCTGTCCACTCTGTCATAAGCCTTTTCCAAGTCCAAGAACGCACAAAAAACTTTCTGGTTTTTAGCCAAAAACTTCTCCGCTATCATGCGCATGGAAAATACTTGATCCGTACACCCCATCCCCTTTCTAAATCCAGCTTGCACAGAAAATAAATAAAATAAAAAACCTTCTCTTGTTGTGGGAATAATTTGCTATAATCGTTAGGCTTAGCGGACAGATTGACCATTGCAGTACCAGATGTATAATGAGCTAGACAGATTTCACGCTGATCCCCGTCGCCGGTCTGAATATTTACGCCTGGTGTTTTTTTTTAAGGATAAGGGTGACAAACGAGTACACAGTCCACCTGATGGCAAGTAGTTGCTATGGCTCATAGATATCTACATCTATCCTCGACTACGAATCAAAATGCAGATGCGTTGTCACCCGTGAGGAATAAGATGGAATGCTTCGTTTACAGTAAAAGGGGTCTCCGGTTCCCTACACTCGAAACACCATACGAAACACAGCAGCGTTGAGCTATTTTACGCTGGTATGCCGTGAGAGCGTGGTCCTTCCCCGATCGAGCCGACCCATTCGTGCTAGAACTTTACTACTAATATAGTTGCACCGTGGCTGTACCACGTTTAACCTGATGGTTATACCTTTACCTTTCGGATTCCATGAGATCTTTATGGCATTTGCCATAATCCCTCCTTACCTAGCTATGACTAAATGCGGTGATAGGTTTTCTTACGTAACCATCGCATGTTGAAATATTGTGTTTAGTTCACTCGTTGTATTTTCCATCTCTTACTATCATGGACTTCTTTGGGCTTTGCAAGACATCCGTCTACGTATTCGAAAAATATCGAATAAGAAAGGTGAAATTAACGATTCTTTAATTTTTTCCCCTTTAAACAAAAAAATATAAAAATAATAGATAAACCAGTTTGTATTATTGTTTTCTTTAAGATTCAATTAATTTAATTTTTAATTTAATTAGCACTCGTTTAAATAATTGCTGTAAACAGCCTCATTGTATATAATTTATGAATTACAATGTTTTTGTTTGTTATTAATCACTTGCGCGATTGTTTTATTTTAACTTTTGCTTGTTGCTGTTATTGTTATTTGGAGCACTTTTAATTACATTGCAGTTCTATGTATATTTTCATTTTTTATCACATTTAAACTAAATATGTAAATATAACATTGCATTTATAAGTTTAAATAAAATTTTATCAAATTCTATTCACAGCCTGATATAAAAATATAATTTGAAGTATGGAACAAAAAACACAAATGTCACTAATGATATATTTCAAAATAATGTTTATTTTTAAAACATTTACCAAACGTTTGATCTTGCTCTGATTATATAATCTAAAAATAAACTCAATGATAACTTTCAACTGGATTTATTTTACTTTACTTTTACTTACTTATCTTCACGCACAATCCCTGACGGGGTAGCCAGAGAGAACAGATCGCCAAGTGTCACGATCCTTACATATCTCTTTCGCTTCTTTCAGATTCATTATCTTCTTCATACATGCACGTCTAGGTATCCGAGTACTCTTGACCCTACCCTCTTCGAGCAATTTGCTCACATGGTCTTCGAAAGTTAGTCTCGGTCTACCTCGACACCTTTTAATATTAACTTTCGCGCTATATATTTTCTTCACCATTCGGTCTTCACTCATTCGCTCAACGTGCCCAAACCACCGAAGCACGCCCTTATCAATTTTTGTGATAAGGTCATCTTTCAAACCTGCCATATTGCGAATCTCTTCGTTTCGCTTTCGGTCGGCCATAGTAACGCCGCACATTTTACGAAGAGATCGCATCTCCACTGCATTCAACTTACTTTTATGCTTCTTCTGGCATACCCAGGTTTCGCTGCCATATAACAAAGTCGGTACCAACACTGCGTTATGTATTGCAAGGCGTGCACTCTTCGCTACGCCTTGTCTTTTGACTAACGCAGTCAGGGCACCATTGACTTTGTTCCCGGCAGCGACACGCCTGTCCACATCTAAATCACATCTTCCATCCCGGCTAAAAGCACTCCCCAAGTATACAATTTCATTTACCTGTTCTAGACATTCCTGATTTACCCATATTTCACACTTCGTTCTCTCTTCGTCCCTTTCAAATACCAGAACCTTACTGGATTTATTCACGACAGTAAACAACAAACCTATCTAAAACTGTACAAGGGCGTAATCATAAAAGACCGTACGAATTCAAATTATCCATATAACACGAAAATACATTTACAGAATAACGCTCCTGACCCAATTACATAGTTCCTATACCTTGATAAACTCGTAGGCGGAATTACAAAATCAATGTTGCCCTACACGCGTCGTATCAGACGCGTGGCCGGCGCCCGCGCGGCTATAAAAGCGCGGCGCAACATAAATTCCGTTTAGTACCACCGTTCAAGTGAGACTGAGTGCGTGTTTCTCATTGCAGGATCGCGCGATGTGTGCGGCGATCGATATGCTGGCGTCAGAGCAACTATTCTACGGTCACAGTCCACCCGCCGGTTTTCTCGCCGACTACACACCGCCGAGGCGGCCCACGAAAATTACCACCCGAGGCTATTCAGCGCCGTGCTTGTCGGTGCTAAAACCGGTGCAGCTCACTTTGAAAACGGCGCCGCGTTCTTGCCTACGGATACCTACCGAAAAAAAGAAGAAACGGGTCGTGTTCGCTGACGACCGAGGTCTCGCGTTGGAGCAGGTGAAGTTTATGACGGAACCTTCGCACGTGCCGCCGTATTGGTCGTTTAAAGTCGTGTCCAGCCCACCGCTGGAGAGGAAACCGCCGCCGACACCTGTCGTCGATTTGTGGGAGACTCGCTTCGTACAGCCAGCTTCAGATTACCTGGAGTTCCGGAGGCGGATAACCGAGGATTGTGTGTCCTTGGAGAATGTGATTGTGAAACAAAATGAGGGCGCCGTGGACGGCACGGTGAAAGTTAAAAACCTGGACTTCTCTAAGGAAGTGTTCGTTAGGACCACGTCGGATGGTTGGTCCACGCACGAGGATACGTACTGCGCTTTCATAGAGTCTGGGCCGATGTCTCAGGGTGGCGTGTCAACGTACGACACCTTCGGATTCCGCCTTCAATTACCAATCCATTCTCGGCGGCTGGACTTCTGCGTCGGCTTCAGGTGTAAAGGCAACAAATACTGGGACAACAATAAAGAGAAGAACTACACGATAGAGAAATCGTCCGCCAGAAGCACGCCGGGTATTTCCTGCGCTAGAATCAATTACGGCAACTCCTGGTCAGCTAAGTCAGACAGCAATAGCAGCACTCCGTATTGGTGAAAGTTTGGACGGTCGTTTTGGTCAATGCTCACCAATAGTGCTCGTGTTGGGAAAACACCACCCGTAGGTGGTGATGATAGTGCCATAATTCTAAGTGCATCGGCTGATTGGGTACTGGACTTGGAAG